TCTATGAATCCTTTTTGCTTTAGTGCGTTTCATTATTTTATTTATAAGAAAACATAAATTTTATTTTTAGAAGTCTAGACTTTCACTTAAATAGGTTTATTTATGTATAATACCATCGATAGCACGAAACACCAACTATAAACGCAGTTAAACCGCGTTAAGCTGATTTCTATTAATCATTCATAATTAATTTCCGCACTCGCATATCACATAGCCTTCTGCTATAAATATATGCATATATCCATATATTAATATGGATAAAGCTCATTAGCGTACGAGACGAATGAAATTCCTTTGCTTTGCTTCGTAAGCAGCGCAACGCGTAGAAGATGAATCTATTCTCAATACTCGTTCATGAAATCATTAAGAGTATATTTGTTATTGTGCCAGTGAAAATATATATATAGTGTGAAATGTATACGCCCTTGGGGGCGTGAATAAACTGGAATATCAATCTATCTATCTGCTTCATATGCTAATGGTCTCCTCTTCAGCTGAAGCTATGAATAATGTAGTCCATCCATTTTGGTCGTGGCAAATACATAATATATCGATACATGCTTGCATTTATCTGGCTGGGCATTATGAACAAGTATTATACAGTCGCTTCAGCTCGACTTCACCATATTTACTCGATTTTTGTTTTGCTTTTTAAATGTTGGTCACACTTTGTTAATGCAAATGCAAATACCAAGCAAGTGCTTTTCAATTGTTGTTGTTGTTGTTGTTGTTGTTTGGCATGCGTTTAATATGCAAAATATGCATTGCTATTGCTATTGTTGTTGCTGTTGTTTGGTGCCACGACAAGTTGTGGCTGTCATTTTGCGTGATTGCTCATGCGACGAAACAACAAAAGAAATGAGTTATGAATTGCATTTGTGTGTGTGTCTACTTAGGTGAGTGCCTGTGTATTCGTGTCTGTGTTTCGGTTGTGCTGCTGTGTGTATATATTATTACAGGCTGCAATAAATCTTAGTCAGCTTGGACCACAGGCATGTGCGGAAGTTGTTATTGCCCAAACCAGTTAAATGATAAGGCACACATAGTCGACGATTAAGATCGTATATATACCACAGATATATAGTATATAAATAGCTGAATGTGCACATGATAGACGGCAGGCATTGAGTGAGAAACAAGGATAATGCAGGTAAGAAACAGCGAGAGTTTAGTATATCTTACATAAATACATATATTTTAATTAATATTTAAGTAAAGCTGCTTGCAAAATTTTTAGAAATTAAAATCTTATCTTTAAATGGAAATACCTAAAAGAAATAAATATAATTGAGGCATAAATTACGCCTTTTTTTTAAATATAATTGTTTGTTTTTATGAATCATTTTAATTTTAAATATTGAAAAAAAAGGTTAAAATTGATTTTTTTTTTTTTAAATTGTTAAAGAATTTTTTAACCTATGATTTCTAATATTTATATGCCAAGAGCCCTTTGAATATCTATATATTTTTGTTGTTGTTGAGATGAATTTCACGGTCAGAAGGAATCGCAACAGATACCATTAAGAATATAATAATAATAAATATGAATAACTAGCTGGCCCGGCAAACGTTGCATTGCCCTCTATATTATTTCTAGGTATTTTGAATTTTTGAGTGYTCGCTAGAAAATGTCGTGATTCTAGTGTTTCGCCATAAAGCAGGGAACGCAATGGCTCTGGTGGAGGAACCACTAATGGCAATGTCACTTTACCACTAAGGCAGCACAAACCGGGCGTTTCACCAGCAAACTTCAATGCGCCACAATGCTGGCAAACAACGTCCATTGGACCAATGCAAACTAAACGATTCAAGCTGTAATCAATGGTGCAATCATATCGAAACGCTGCTCGATTCAAATCAATCCTTGAACCATTTCTTATTGCCATTTCACGGGCTGCCTCTCTTTGAGAAGCACGAATTAAGGCCCTTCTTCCCTGGGTACTAACGCGGAGCCTTTCTCGGGCGATTTCTCGCTCTTCGTCAGATAATTGACTCGCGCTATTCCGTTGCCTAATTGCATTATGGGTCCGCCGGGAAAGATTAGATCTTCTAGGACGCGGCATTTTTATTAATAGTCAGGTCTGCTCGAGGCTGTCTCGAGTTTTAAGTGCTAATACACTTTTACACAACTCTCTTTTATATATATAGATATACATATAACATTTTATAAAAAAAAAATAGTAAAAAAATATTCTTGATGAGCAACAATCAGGCAAGACGATTCTGCTCAGCTGTCTGTGGTCGAACTATGAGCTATTATTTCTATATCAAATAAAAATTCTCCACAAAACTCGCAGATCAAATTTACTGGCAATTAGCGACAAGTTTCAAAACGATTAGAAACAAAATAAAATTTTCGATTATTAGGCATGTGTCGCACGTTTCTCGTGTTAGATTCCCAGCTTGAACAAGATTCCCCCGAATAAAACATAAACTTCGACTACACCAACTACTATTTAACGGCTCCGAAATTGCTTAAGCATTCAGAACGCTTCGCTTTTAACACCAAGCCTAGCTGACATAATTATTATTATCTTTACTTTTTAGCACTTGACGCCACTTGCCAGAGTATCTTTATCTTGTCATCTGCTTAGCGAGCCAAGTTAATTTTATGATGTTTCATTTGTGACTTCCCCAATGAACCCAATTTGGGTTTTTGGTCTTTGAAGCGCATGCTTATTTTATTTTTCTACTTTTTTCTTACGTTTTTTGTTCTCTTGTAGTTTATTTATTCTTATGCTGTTCTTGCTTTTATTTATATTTACTTTTTTGTGCGACTTTACGAGCGTTTCTCGTGTGCAATAACCTTGCCAGACTTCGCAACAAAGTTGACTTGACTCGAGTTGACTTGACATGGCAGCTTTACAAAACACAAAGCGCAAAATCTTAGATAAGCCTCAAATTGCGTTTCTTTTATATGTTTCACACTCTTCTTCAATTTTTTATTTATTTTTTTCTTGTCGTGGACAAGTCGTTGCTAGCATGAAAAGTAACTTCATTGATTGTTCGTTTAGTGGCGCCTTTTTTTTTTTTTTTTTTTTTTTTTTTTTTTTTTTGGTATTTACAGTTCTCTCTTTCTCTCTGTCCTCGGCCTATTCGTCAACAATCTTGAATGTTTCTATTTAGCTTCCTACACACTCTCGCCGCACGCAAGGTTAACTTTCACACACGTCTCTCATGGGAATTGCTTTGTTTCCTTTTACAGTTTTGTAATATACGTAATTCCAAATTGATTTCGATATATTTGCAATTTAGTGCACAAGGTTGACATTGCGACATTTTGAGGTCTTCTTTATTTCGAAATGGTTCTTATCGCTCGACGCTCCCTCCTAGGCACATATCGTATGGCGTTTGCAATTGTAAATTAAGTAGACATTGTCATTGGATTATATTTCAAATGAAATATGATTCGTTTTGGTTTTTTATATTTATTGCTATTGCACATTTCTATAAAATCAAGTTCTAGTTTATATTGATTATACTATTGAATTTCCTTTGTTTGAGGCTTGATTTCTGTTTAAGTGGTTCGCATAGTCAAACTGTTCGTTCCATTGTCATTTGAGTACTTGTACTTGATCTGAGTTTTTATATAGAATACATGCGTCAACAGGATTCAGCTGCTTAAAATGAGGATATCCAAAGGATATGTAGGATATACTCGAGATATTCTAGAATGTGGAATCTATGTAACCCTGATATACATATTTACATTTGTAATCAACGTAAGCCTAGTCTACTTTTCATCATAGATTTTCGGTTAATTTAAAAAAATTAATCAAAAATGAAATTGCAATTGGGTTCCAGCAAAGAGGCATTAACTAAGTCAATAAACAAATTTTCATTTTCTTTTTTTTTTTTTTTTTACAAATTTTAAAATCTAAGATAAATATTTAAAATCTATCATAATAGATCATTTACATCGAATAAAAAAGATTAAATGCGTTCTTCACACTCCAGTTAAAATATTAAAAATACTTGTTGAAACATCTCCCATTTTACATTACTACTAAATTTTGTTGGCCTGTGTAATTGTCACTTGTTTAAGTTGAAGATATTCCAATAAGCACGCATTAAGTGACGCAAATCCATTCAACTTGAATCACGTGGACTTGACTTGTGTTTCTAACCAGCAAATGTCTAAATACATGCTCAATAAAACTAGCCATTTTCTAGCTATATATACATACATATATATGTATATGTATGTATGTATTCATGTGCGTCTGTACGATAATAGCGTGCACACACATGTCTCGCCTATCAATATCTATGCAAAAAAAAAAAAAAAATAATAATAAATAAATATAGAAATATAGAAATATAAAACAGAACCTCGAATACGCCTTCTTGCATGGGCGTCGCTATCATTGGGAAATTGTTGGCTGCATAAATTGCGTTGCATGTTTATTAAATTAAATAACTGCAAGCTGATATATAGTCGCACAGTGTGTTAATGCGACAATTATTATGAACTCGAATTTATAGTACATAAATTTTCATTTAGCCCCAGTCCACAGAGTCGCAATTCTGCATAATTATTATTATTTACTGTGGGCTCAACGATATCTGGTTCTAGTTTCAGTTTCAGCTTCAGCTTCAGCTTCAGATTGTGCGCCATTTGCACAGCTGGCGCTGCTTTGATTACGCTTCAAGTGCAGCTTAATGCTTTGTGTAGGAATTTTCATTAAAAAAAGTCAACAAAATGAAAAATTCAAATGAAATTTAAATAGAAATTTGGCTCCAAGAATGCAAATGAGGTTTTTCCTGAGCACAATTTCAAATGAAATGCAGTATGAGCGGATTATTAGAAATTTCTGTATGCTTCAGGGGGATATACATGAAAGTCTTTTAAGTGCATAATTATTAAAATAAGTTTGTATAAATTACAAATAATTAACAATAAAAATCTGTACGAGTCTTAATATTCGTTTTAAATTGTTGTCATAATATTATTGAGCTCGATTCTAAAATACTCTTAAATAGATTTATCAAAAACTTACCTAATATTGCTTATGAGTTGCTTTTTGGCACAAGTTTCTCAATATATATGTAACTTCTATATATACGTTTTTCTGTAAGAAATAAATAGATGGGAAAATAATTAATAACAAAATATTTATTTATGATATAAATGCTTCAATAAAAATCTAATCAAATAAACAATTTATCATATATACAAGCAAAACCTTTTCCGTAAGCCCCCTTTAACCCACTTACAAATGAAATCCGTTCAAACCTTTTACACCAACTAAAAGCCCTTTGACCCAAATTTCATAGTTCTCACGACTGAATAGGTTTTTCTTATCGCCGCATTACGAAACCCACGTAAATTATATATGATTCCCATTGAGTGTATCTAAACAAAATGATAATAAAATGTGTTTCCAGTTCGGTCTAGGGTATTTTTGGTGCAGCGCCTGTCTGCCCCATTATCGCTCCCACTGATAAGCGTTGTAAAACGTTAATAATCCATAAGGCTAGAGGGCCCCTTAATCAGTAATTGGGGGCGTGTGAATCAGTTGACAGGTGGAGATAAGTTGCAACAGCTGTCGATAGAAACAAACCAAACAGAGAAAGAGAAAGGAAGAGAGACGGAGAACGAGAGCTGGATTGATAAGCCAAAGTTTTCTTATCGATTTCAATTAAAAAAGACTTTGACTTTAGCATATATATGTTCTATATAAATACATGAGCATTTGGCACAATCAATTTGATTCAGCATTGTGAGAGACACTAGCCTTGAGTTGGGAGCGCTATAAGTATTTGCTGAACTGGGCTCCAGACCATTTGGATAACTATTGAAAGTTTCTTCAGAACGCAATTTGATAGGCAAAGATTATAATATAATAATGCTGGAAAACCAAATTGAATGGGTTGGATTTCTTGAACATTTATTATAGAAAATTTAGAATTTTTAAGCTAAATCTGCAATAGTTTCGACAAGTAATTCCAGGCATACTTCTTGCCTACTCGATTCGATGCGATGTCATTTTATTTGATTTTCGTTTTTCTGTACACAAAACTTGTTTAGCTTTTGTATTTGCTTACGCTTATATAAATGGCTCTCGAGGGTCCGTTTCGCACATAAATCAGCTATACAAACAAATGATAAACACTCGAATGTGTCCGAGCAACAAATCAAAAACTTATTAAACAGCATAAATTTCGCATTTGCCAAAAGCTAAAGACGCGCGCAATTTATCACAGATTTAACTGCAGCGCGCCTTTTGACAAAAAGAAATAAAAATATTAACAAATGTGAACAAGGAAAAAAATGAAAGTGTCGACGTTTTGGAGGATCGCCTCTCGGATCGTCTTCTGGCATCTGGGTAGGTATATGGGGTGTGTTGAGTGCACAGCACGTCTCACACATTTTTGTTGTTTAATTTAAATATGCAATTTGCATGCATGCGCAATTTTTTATTTTATATTGAGGAAAAGAAAACAAACAAAAAACAAACAAAACAAAAAAAAAAAAAAAAGCACGCAAAAGATGAACACAAAAAAAAAAGCAACTTCCTTATTTATTTAGGTTTACTTTATTTCCAGCTGGAACTCGACGCACTCGAGCGCATTTAATTTATTATTAACGTAAATTATTTATGCTTTAAGCAACGAAATATTTTTTGGCATTTCTGATAAATCAATGAATTTACAACAAAAGAGAATCGTTTTGTTAAATAAATTTACTGCACAAAAGCTGACATAAATTAACTGAAATAATAACAACAAGTGAACCGAAATTATTTGCTTTGGCTCTTCAAAATAAAATAATAATAATAATAATAAAAGCGCGCCAAATGAAGGAAAGTAAAAGAAGAAAAACATGAAGCAAGTGAAAGCGATCAATAGAAATAATAATATCTATTACTTAGCAGCTGTTGTGCTGATTTATATTGCAGATCAAAAAGTATTTTATTTATTTTCATATGCCACAAAGAGACAGTGAGAGAGAGAGAAGGCAATAGCATGCCAAATAAATAAATAAAAAATCAGTTGTAAAGGCACTTGAATTAATTGTGGCAGATTTTTTATACATACGTCTACGTAATATGACTGGGACAACTTTTTATTGATAGGACCGTTAAAGTAAATTGAAAAAGTCAATAAATGGGGCCACAATGCAAATGAAAGAGAGAGATAGTTCAAAGTGTCTTTAATCAATTGCCAGTGATACATGTTTATTGCAATATTAAATGAGCAAATTGCGTTTTTAGCATAGGGTTCAATAGACGCCAGCATTTAATAATAAAACAATAAAATTGTAATAAAAATGTAAGAAAAAAAATATGTCATAAAAATACCTCGTAGTTTCAGGCTGCCAAAGGCAACTCAAGTCTCTTGTCTCTTTCTGCCAAGAGCTCAGTTATTTCCCAGCAAATCAAATTCAAGTCAAGGTTCATGCTCAACTGCCCTGAGCCTGGACCTTTGGGATGTCAAGGAGCCGAACAATAGCACAATTAACGCCAGCCGTAAACAGATATTGCGCATACGCCGCATGGCACATGCCCAAGTTACAGCTTCGGTGTTATTGTCTGTGGCTATGAAATGCACTCGTATCCTGTGCACAGCATTTTGAAAGCAACTTGTGTGCAGCTGCTAATTTAATAGCCAACGAACAGAAACAACAACAACAAGAGAAATATGATTAACCACAGCAGCAGCAGCAGCAGCAGCAGCAGCAGCAGCAGCAGCAGCAGCAGCAGCAGCAGCAGCGCAGCGCCAGCAAGCCGAAAGATACAAAATGAATGTTGCAATCTGCATGCAGCTTGGCAACAACAAGAACAACTGCAACTGCAACGGCAACAACTGCAACTGCAACTGCAATTGCATGATTTTTGTTTTTGGCCTGTTGCGAGTCATAATGAAACCGAAAGCTGGCAACGTGCATTGGCCAAACAGTTGGCGTAAATTAACGTTCAAAACAGTTGAGTGAGAGACCATTTACACAATTTTTTTTTTTCGTACAATTTTATTTTTTTTGCATCTGTAATTTTTTTTCCGCTTTTTTTTTTGTGCACACCTCGATTTTTTTTCGCACAGCAGTTGCTTGGCAAACACAACTGATCAGCTCGGCGGCGGCCTGCTTTATGGCTACATTTTGTGACCGTTGCTGCTGTTAAATTTGTCGCTGACTGACTTATCGGCATCTACATAAGGTAAATGCTTTTCATTTGCATTTTAAGCACCGACGGCTGCTGAGAAAGTCAACGCTGGGCATATTAGTGCTCGCTAACGAGAAATTCGCCAAGCATCGGTTAGAAAGTATAGCTAACGAGTTAAGTGTAGCTGCTTTTCTTCATATGTGTGCTCATTGCAAAGTTCATGGTAAATTTGATTCGAGTGCAGCTTAGTTACGCATTTAGCTCTTGGCTATATGGGGTTTTCATATATGTATATAACTCTCTTTTATTTACTTTTGCAAATATACATATACATTTAGTTCATGGTATACTTTTATGGCTTTATGTATTGCAGCATGAGCTTGTAAACTATACGGCAAATGCTAATACTCTTCAGATATACTAACTATTAGATATACTTATATTCTAACTTTAAAATATGCTAGAGCATCGTTGTTGTAAACTTCATGGTAAAATGATTTTTTTTATTTTTTACTTTTTAATTAATTACAGTTATGTTTTAACATGTTCAGTGTATATTTGAGGTTTAATTATATATATTTTTTTAGCTTAATAATTAATTAGCAATTAAATTTCTATATGCACACTTATATTGTTATGATTAACCGTGTTCATTGTAAAGTGCAAGTCAAATAAATTAGAATATAACATTAACATTATTTTATGCTAGCTAACTTCCCAACATTTTTCAGTCTCGAATTTCATATATTTTTTCAAAATTCTGACCTTAATTTTAATTTTTAGTGTTAACCATTCGACTTAACATTTTCATTGTAAAGTTTATGATAATAATTAAGCAAATATATTATATTTTATTTGCACAACTAAATTTTTTTAATACTAAATTCATTATATAAACGCAGCCGCAATTAAAACTATTTTTTTATATAAATTTCCGTAATACTTTTTAGAGCAGAAAATATTTAAAAATCCATTTCTATATAGTGCACATAGCTCTAAGCCGAGTTTTATTCGATTTTAATGCTCATTGTTGGAATATGAAAATTACACTTACAGCGGAGAGTTACGAAAAGTGTAATCGAAAAAAAAAAAAAAAAATAAAATAAAAATTGTTGCCTGCTGTGCGGCGAGTTTTCAACACATTAAGAGCGAACGAAACGAAACGATCGTAAATAATATGTGAAATATTATTATAGTACGCTTCAAATAACATTTTCATGTTATAATTTTTGGTAGAGTACATATTTTCTGAGCTCCCCAACTATGCGGTGCTGTCATGTCTTTGGATTTGTGATCGCCCGCCTACTTTTTACATCATTTATTATGTGGGCAAAATCGTATAATGGCTGCATTTGGATTTTAAATTACATTTAACTGAGAGGCGAGTGAGAAGAGAGAGGGTGCAGAGGGGTAGTTGAACTAGGGATCTATGAAGGGGGATTTAAATCGTTGCATGTTGTGCGTGAGTGTGTGCGTGTGTATGTGTGTAAGTGCGGCACGCTTCGTTGCATGCCCCTGCGTTTATCGGCTCGCTCAGCTGCAACAGCAACTGCAACTGGAACTACGATTGCATTGAATGATTGAATGATTGAAGGTAGTCACAGCGCAGGCAAGCAGTTTAAGTTGATTTCTGATTTAGTGTTTTTTTTTTTTTCTTTTTTCTTTTAGTATAATAGATACAGGTAGAGAGGCAACACTTGTAGCTACAATTTGAACTGTAGGCGTTGCTGTCTGCTCGCTGGGCTTTTGAGTGTCAAGAACTAGTCTTGGCCATAAAAGAGAAACCGGCAGCAATGTGCACCGAATGCACCAACAGGCCAAATGTAATTTGATTGTTGTTACTCTGGCTCTTGTTGCTGTTGTTGTTGTTGTTAAAGTTCAACCAGTTTCATGGCTGAGCCAAGTTGAGACTTTTATGGTAACTTGCAGAAATCAGCAAATAAAAAGACAAAAAAAAAAAGAGTTGA